CGGGCGCACAGCGGTCGGTCTCTTCCTCACAGCCAATGTCCAACCCCGAGTCTGCACAACAGAGGCTCGAGCAAGGCCCGAAACCGGACCTTCCTTTCGCGCATCTCTGGGCACACGCGGTAGTCCTGGGTGCACACTGCCCCACAGATCCGTGCGGGTTCCAAAAGCCTGTGCCACTGGCTCAAACGCCGGCTACTGCGTCCACCCCGTGTGGAGTGAGGCCTGCACGTGATACACATAACATTCCTGAGTGGCTGAAAACCCCTCTGTTCCGCACCACTAACAGCATCCTCCGGGGCCAGGTACCTGTAGGCCCTCACAGTGAATTCGCTCGTGCACGCGGCCAGCACACCCATTGCATGCTTCCCCGCGCGGTCACGTGCAGCACCGCTTACCGCGTGCGTCTCGGCGGCCACATCCTGGCACTCGCCACGAACACTCACCACGCGTGTGCTCAGGGGCTCGCACACGTGCACTTTGTCGAGGCACACTTACTCGCACACTCACATTCTTGCTTGCTGAGGGTCCACTCGCTGGCATACCCACGTGTTCCTCCAAACACACCGGGCAGAGCCGGGGCGCACACTCGCCGCCCGGCGAGCCCCCCGCGGACGCTATCTGCCTGCCCATCGGCGCGCGGATCTGCGGTGGTAAATGCTGCATTCGATGGCGGGCGCATTTGTTGTGCGCGCTCTGAAAGGGCTGCGATAATCTGGAAGGCAGAGATAAGAAAGACCATTTATTCCGCGGCACTTTGGAAACAATTCCCAGCCCTGTACAACCCCATTCTCGGGCAGCCTCCGGGAGCCGGGCAGATAACGATTGGCTATTCATTATCTTCGCCGGGAACAAAGATTAGCCGGCCGAGATGAAAAATTACCCCGGACAGCGGCTCAGCCCCACTCAGACCCCCCTGCCCGTCGCCACCGCCCCGTGATCGGTGCCCCGCCCGGGGTCCAAGCCTCGGCTCATGCCTTGCGGGGTCTCCAAGGCCCTCTTCCCTTCGGCCGGGCCAACTCGGTCTCTCCATCTTTGGTCTGTCCGTCTCCCCCAGCCCTGCTGTTTTCCCCCACGTCTCTCTAGTCTTTTCTTCTCTTGCCCTCCTCGTGTTTCTGTAGTTTCTCTCCATTCCCGCATCTCGATTCTGTCTCCCTGTCCGTGCCTCTCTCTGGTTGATACTTTCTTTGCCTTTATTCCCACCTCTCTAATTCATTCTGCCACTTGTTAGTTGTTTATTTGGGCCTGAGTACCCCAGTCCCTGGGCCCACCCTGCTTGCACCTCTGCCCCTTAGCGCGACTGCATTTTTTTTTTTTTAAATCTGTCCCTAGAGTCCCTGCTGCTTGTCCCTCCTTTTCTCTCTGGATCTTTCTGTCACTGGGACTCCAATTCCCTCCATCCCAACTTCTGGACTTCATACTGAGCTCCCATAAGCCAGACTGAGGGACTCTGGTCTTTCTAACCAGCCCAGCCAAGTTCATGGAGAAGACAGGACTTGATTCCCCGCTGTAGTACCTAGGACCTTCCTCTAAGAAACAAGGCAGACAAAAAAAAAAAAAAAAAAAAAAAAAAAAAGGGGGGGGGGGGTCTCTAGGACACAGGGTCTACCAGGTCTCTAGAGGATTAGCTCTGTGCTCTGGGTCTGGCTGGCCAGGCCCCTCTCCACTAGGAGGGGGGCCTGGGAGCTGGTGGTCCCAGTGAGGCCACCTCATTAGAACGGTTATTCAGCATGGCCCTGGTAATAGCAGATAAGGCTTATCAGCTCATCTCCCCCTCCCACAGACAGACAGAAAGTGCCAGAGTAAATGGCACCCCGGGGCTCCACTGGCTGCCTGCCCTGCTGGTTAAGGAAGGTGCACGGGTGGCCAGGGAGCCTGGAGGATACACATACTGTCTCCACACTCCTCCTTCACCAGATATAGAGTAGCCCTGGATACAGAAACAGAGTTCCAGGATGGAGTGATAGACACAGGTGCCCACCCCTCAGACATGGCCACAAACACCAAGCCCAACACATCAGTTCCACCTGACGCAACAGATATGCAGACATACTTGGATGTGTTTGCTCCCATCTGCCTTCAGCTCAAAGTTAGACATCAACACCTGCCATTCAGACATACTAACCCTGAGTGGTGGGACACACCTTTAATCCCAGCCTTCAGGAATCAGAGGCAGGTTATATCACTATGAGTTCCAGGCCAGCCACAGTGACATAGTGAGACCTTGCCTTTAAACACACACACACACACACACACACACACACACACACACACACACACACACACCTGTATGGCCTCAGATACACAGACACACACCCCTCATTAATAGACTTGTCAGTGAGTATCCAGATATATTGCAATCCCCCATCTTTCACATATATACAACACATACACACCCCTAAATACAAGCTGAAATATACATGGATAGCCAGGTTTATTAAAGACACATGTACAAATGCATGTCTAGATACAAACACAAATGCACAAAGGTAACACACTGATTGAGACATACTTAGAGACACCCTCTGTCTGCCTATCACGATTCTTGAAGATGATGGCCTGTCTCAGATATCTGGACACAGAGACATACATCCAATTCCACAGAGAGTTCTTACATGCGTGTGCAGGGTCACACTCCGCTAACCTTCATTCTGCGACCAGCTACCCACTACAGGTGCTTAGGGACACTCTCAGTTTCACAAACACTCCTGTGAGCTCCCCATCGTGAATACATAGCCCACGGGGCACATAAACTGAACTGCCTACAGAGGGTGCATACACAGATTCAGAAAGACCCAAAACAGCTGGTGGCACAGGAGGGGAGGGGCAGACCCACTCGCTGCATGGGGCACGCCAGGACGAATAATCTTTCCAAACAGAGTAAGTCTGTGGGGTTCTGTGAATTTCCCAGAAGGGCTTAAAGTAGTACATAAAGAATGGATTCTCATTGCTACCTAGCTCAGGTTCCTCCTTAGGGTTCACACTGCCACCAGGCTGTCTCCTCCTACCCTGGTAAGGACAAGCCTCTTGCTCTACTTGTGCCATTCTCTGATGCAAACGGTTTGCCAGTAATGGGCCAAGGACACACCAGAAACTCCATTCTTAAATTCTGCTGAGTTGGGAACGGGCATCTGTGGGGAAGGAAGTAGGAAAACACTCGCCAAATGTGCAGGAAGTGAGGGAATTGTGTGACTGTGTGTAGGTGTGTGTGTGTGTGTACTTTATACCTGTGTGTGCACGAGTGTTTGTGTGCCACAGAGCGCCTATCTGGGGACACAAGCATCTACACAGCGGCAGCACGTGCACAATGTGTGTATGGAAGGAGGGGCAGGTGTCTGTGTACTTGCTTGTGAGGGAGAGTCTCAAGAGAGAGACATCCCAGGCTTTCTGAGATTACATCCCTGAGAGCAGGAGTGCTTGCGTGGCCCTGAGAAGGCGGGAGTGGCCTGTCGGGTGTGAGCGCCTCGACT